TATGAAGTGTTTGTTTACGTTATGGACTACGAAGCTTCGGAGCCCGGAGGTCGACGAAGACTATCACGTTTGATGATGATGCGTGTTCGGGTGGGATCTGAACGACTCTGCGGTACCGTCGTGCGGGACGGCGTTGTTTTTATACCGTATTTTGTGAATGTCGAACGACTGTACGCGATGACTCGGCCATGAAAAAAAAGGGAGTTACACAAGTTTCCGCACCACATTCGTCAGAGGACTGTACTCGATGATTCGGTCATGAATAATGAGGCAATACGCAGTGGTGTCGGCCGGAACGTTTTCCTTACATTCGAATTCTACGCGAACGTCTACGGTGGCGCTTTTCACCGCCTCGTTCTGACGAGAGTAATCGATCACTACAAATGGGCCGGATGTTAGGAATGATTTTACGGTTAGATACGCATCGTCGAGTTTTCGTCCATAGTAAGATTTTTGAAATTTTGCATACATGTCATACAGTATAGCAAATTTATTGTTCTCGATATCAAGATTCATGTGGTCATAAGGATAAAAGTCTGAATTTAAGTACAGTTTCACGTTGGTGAGCTTGCAATGATCGAAGATCGAGGAATCGCGTGTTAACACGTTTCGTCGTCCTGTTTGTAGGGCAAAGATAACGTAACGCGGTTTCTCTAATTGCGCTGCCGTTTTTACGGCCCACGAGTGCTTCGTCGTGCTCTGCAGCAATGGAAATTCGTACAGATCCCATGAACGAAATCCGACGCTTAAAAACCGTCCGCTCTCCAGCGTTCGCAGAAGCGATAATTTGTTCACATCGTTCAGAACAATGTGCGGCACTCGCCATTGCACCCTTGAAAGAACGATTTTCGAACTTTTAGCATTCTCTTGCGCCACGATGCAATTGTTATCGGTGCGCGCGCGGATCAAGATAAGTTCGTGTCGCGCGTTCACCACTACACGTTTGTAGTCCTCGCAAAAGCCTAATAATATTTTCAAGGGGACGCACAGGCTGAAGGAACCGCTGTCGGAAACGTTTGGCTCACCCCACCCGGCGTTCTGCAATATATCGAGTTCGCGCGACGTCAACGAAACGTAATTCTTAATTGTACTAGTTATTCCAACGTTGCGATTTCGATCGATCTCTACGCCATTGAGTTCGTAACGTATCTCCTCGAACATGAAGGCTACGCAGTTGCTCGCAAGTTTTGATGTCTGATTCGTCGTCGTCGATGCCTCATCGGACAATTTTCCCTCCACGTATAGAGCGCTTTCGCACGGTAAAGTGTACAGATCCTGCTGCTGTATGGGTATTCGTATTTCATCGCTGTATCCGAACATTGCATTGGCATAGGGGTTGTACGCGTGAGTCTCGATCTTGACGATGCGCTCGTCGAACATCGGCTCACCTCCGATGCTCAGGATGTCGACCACCATAATTCGTGTTTCTCACAATGAAACCGAGCGATCGCAGGAACGCGACGTTCGCGGCGCTCAATTGATTTTTTTTGTTCTCTTTCGCTCCTCTTCCTCCTCCTCCTCCTCTTCTGTCGATGTACGGAACAGACTCGTTTTTCACGCGTGAATCACTAACAACGAGCATATCTTACGCTACGCGTTTTCTCACGTGCAATCGTATCGTTATCTCTTCCCCGCGAAAATCAATCGGATGTCCGTTTTGATCGACCACACGCACTGTTATATCGGTCACGCTCCTCACGATGACCGGTAGATAAATGATCTGCGTCGGCGTTTCCGACAGTTTATATCCCGGCGGAACATTCGGCACGAATTCGTGTATCGCGTGTACCGGTTTGTCGTTGCTGTACGCCCCCGCGGTAATGTTGCATTCCACGCGTACGACGTTGACGCTCATGATATTTATTGGTTGGTCCGACACGTACCATCTGTTCCGTTCCAACACGCGCGTTGTCGAGAAACCCAATATGGAGCCAATATTGTTCGGTTGTGTAAAATTTACTCTATACGCGCATTTTATCTCGGTCCTCATGGTATTTTCATTGGCGCGAAGAACGATAGTATATGGGTTATCCTTCTCTTCGTCGTTGACGTCGTAATCGTCGTTGTCGTACACGCGATACTCGTTGAGATCTTCATCATCATCCGTGGATTTGTCCCGCTGTCATCGTTGTCTGTCGATAATCGCGGCCTTGAGGTACCGTTCGATTGCGCGCAATTCGTATGATCCCTCGGGAATGACGATCGGTTCGTCGTTCTCACCAAAATAGAATGTATCGTTTGT